ATTACCTTCAGTTACTCATCCTGCACAATGTGGCTTTTGAAAAGATCACCAATAATATTATATTATTCTTATTGGCGTATTCTCCCTGGTTTTTTCCTTCCTGCCCCACTAAACAACCCAAGCCAGTGCAAAAGAATCCACCAGTCACTCTCCTTAGTGAGGGCTGGGGAGAAGATGAATTTTGACAGATAGCAGGCCAGTGAGTTTAATCATCTGTCAGAACTTGCTCTGATTTTGCATAAGGAGTTTGCATCGGTGCATTCTGGAGTACAGCTGTTCTAGAATAGCATTAAACCTGTGTCCAAAAGGAGCTTACCATCTGATAGCTAGCTTCCATTGAATACACCCACGCAATGAGTTTTGACAGGCAGCTAAATCTATCAGACTCTTTTGTTCAAGAACACTCCTAAACCCATCTTGAAAAGCAGCCGGTACAATAATTGACATATGTGGAAAAGGTGCACCATAAAGCAGCAGAGAGCACTGGCTTTCTCACATTTCACTGTGCAGCTTCCTATCTCTTCTGCTGGTCAACTAACTGTTCAGGCTTGATCCAGGACTCCAAGCCCAGGACTGGCTTAGAGACTTGGCAGATATAGGAAGAGCCTAGAAGTAGTTCTCAACTTATGACAGTGAATTCCTCCGGTCATTAGCCGAGGACCCACCCCAATCTAAGCCATTCCAGGCTTGGTCCCTCCCATCCCCAAGCCTTGGTAAAGTAAGGGACTACCTCCTCTTCAACTCCCCCCACCTACCTATCTCTCCCCACATCTCTGCCCTTTTGGCTGCCTCGCACCCTGCCTTGCGGGGCGGCAATCAGCCCCAGAACCACATGGCTCTGGGACTGCTTGCTGCTTTGCGGCTCAGGGGCTTCTTGACACACCATGGCTCTGGGGCTGCAAAAAGCTTGAGCCATAGCATGAAGCCATGGTGCCCTGGAAAGCCCCAGCAGCATGGCATGAAGCCACAGTGCCCCGGGAAACCCCAGCAGTGCAGTGTGAAGCCGCAGCCCCCTGGGAAGCCACAGCTGCCACAGCCCAGTCCCAGCCACACTTGCCCTTAACACCCTGCACTCCAAGGCCCCTGCCACCCTGAGCTCTGCCTCCCCAGCTGACCTTCGCCATCTTTTTGTTTCCTCTGCTGACAGCTAGGGCGGCAGGGGCCGTGGAGTGCAGGGGGCCAAAAGGGCATAGACAGGGAGGAGATAGGTGGGTGGGGGGTTGAAGCACCCCAGCGGTCTTAAGTGGGCAGGCTGTCAAGCGCCTGAATTTTGATCATGTGACCACGGGGGTACTGCAACGGCTGTAACTTTGGGGACCAGTTGTAAGTCCTTTTGTTCAGCACCACTGTAACTTCGGTCACTGCATGAATGGTCATATGCCAAGGACTACTTGTAGTTTAAAAGAACTGGACCCTTCTGCTCAAAGCAGCATCACTCTGGAAGACTGTGCACAGGGACAGGCATGCCCACATCAGCATGCAGTAGCCAATAAGTGCTAGGTTCATCACATCCTGTGGGAGTCACCTGACTGCACTACCAAAAGAATACTTGTGTCCATGCCAAAAGGTATGTCAGAGTAAGGAGGAAAACACTATTCTAACACCAGTATCACTGATGACTTAAGGCTATCTCAGGTATGCGTTTGAGATCAGATGACGGCAACATCATGAGTAAACAACATAAAAGAGTTTGTTGGTGTATGTCTGTGCCACAGCTAGATGCACAGCTAGATCAAGGAAATGATCTTAAAAGCTATGATTATTTTGATTCATTTTTATCTTCCCTCTGGTGAGGTTTGGGCTGAAACTTCTGTTTTGATCAGTGACATTTGCCAAGCAAATGGATGGGGAAAATTTTATCTTCTACTTCTCCTAAATATCTTAGTGACTGTGGAATTCTCAGCCATCACCACCTTAGTTGGTGGTTCTTAGCTTTGATCTTCTTAATGATGTCTCTCAACATAAGGTATCCTTTTAATTTCTGTGGAAAAATCCTGCTGATTGTTACACTTATTCCTATTCCTTTTAAAAAAAAAAATACTCCCATGACCATAACAATATTGCAAGCAGCACATTTTAGATGAATTATGAAATGTACCTCAAATTCACATATTTGCATTACAAGGGCACCAAAAAACTGAATCCATGATTGCGGGCAGTTGGATGAGATATGATCTGATGGTGATTTTGTGTGGACCCTATGTAAAAATTATATGGAGCCATGAGGAGCCATACCTGAGATTTATACATGCATGCACACAGACATGGCATGTGTGCATGCCATGAAAAGAACCACAGTTCTTTGGATCCATGATTGTGATAGTTCACTGTATGCAGAAAGATATGATCTGTAATTTTATGATTGTTCATTACAAAAATTGTGTTGATCCCAGAAAATATATGACTCAGAATCATGAGTTTATGTTATAGAAATTCCAAAAACCTTTGAAACTATTTCAATGAATCATTGCATCCAGATGGATGTGATCTGTAATGGCATGCTGGTTTCATGTAGATGTGTTAAAAATCATGGGAATCCATGAAGACCTGTGCTTTGAAATTGGTTTACGCTACAGTGGTGTCACAAATGGTCAGATTCATGACTGTAGGGTGCAGTGAATGCATATCAACATTTGATGGTAGCTCTGGGTGATCTTATGTAAAAACAATGCAAAATCAAAAGGATCGTATATAAAAAAATGCAAAATCAAAAGTATGGCAGAGCCAAACATGGTGTGATCTATGATTATCAGCGGGTACTCTGTGTAGACAGACATGATAGATTATTTAATGGTGGCTTCAGGTGGATTCCTTGAAAAAATCTAAAAATCTGTATCTTGAATCCATATTATGCATCACAAAGGGTCCAAAAGAGTGCTGAATCTGACATTATGATTTCTTGTGTACAGATAGATGTGACCTATGATCTGGTAGTAGTTCTATGTGGATCCTATGTAATTATTTGGATCTGAGGATTCTTGCCCCAGATCACATTTTTGCACATTGTTGCCAAAAATAATCAGATTTGATTGCTATGACTTGTCTGCAGACAGATTAGTTCTATAATTTATTGTTTCATTTAGATCTCATGTAAAATTTATACAGGTCTTGGAAGACCTATATATCGGATCAAGGCTTGTGCATCATGGTAATGTAAAAAACTGTTCCGTGACTGTGATGGCTCATGGTATACAGACAGAAGTGAACTTTGATTTAACAAGTTTCAGTGGATAACATATAAAAATCATGCAAAATTGAGAGGATCGTATCTCAGATTCACATTTGTCTTGGTGGAGCCTAAAGCAGTTAGATCCATTATTATGACAGTGCATTCCATGCTGATAGACATGATCTATTATTTGAAGGTGGTTTCAGGCAGATCACATGTAAAAATATATCAAATCCATATTTAAATTTCAAGATCTGGCTCTTACCCTTTTCCATAGAAATTAATTAAATTGGGATAGCTGTTACTCAGTGATACTGTTGAGTTCCAAATCCAATGGCACCAACTTTTCAGCACCTTATGATTACTGACCACAAGGGAGTACTGTAGTAGGATGTATAAAGTGTAAAGGTTTTATTCTCTCCCTTTGTTTATGAGATTGATAATTTGAGGTCACTTCCTTCTGCTTTTCTTCCCCAGCACAGAAACAGAGCACGTCTTTTGATTCTTCTTCTAGTAGGAAGTAGTTAACTAGGCACTATGTCTATAATCTATAAATAAATCTCCTGTATTAGTTACAAAATCTACTTCATTAATAATTACTCAGGTCAGATTCCCACCCTCAGGAATGCAGTCTCACATAAGGAACACCTCAATCCCAGATACCTCCAAAATTTGACTGAAGAAATGGATGCCGTATGGAATTGTCCTCAGCAAGATTGTTGGGTTTGCGGGGGGGGGGGGGGGGTATTGAAGCAGCAGCACTGTAAACAAAACTGTTCCAAGTCCACTCCCAATTTTTGCAGTCAGACCAGAAAGATACCATAGATGATTGTATCAACAGCCACAGGATCTGGAGTCACACTCCCCCATCTGGTCCTTCCAAGGGTCATCGACAAGCGCAACCAATACAGTTTCAGTCCTGTGTCTATGCCTGAATCCTGGCTGGAAAGGGTCAACATAACCAATTTCAAGCTTGGTTCATTGTAGCTGTACAATCTGAAAGGATTTATTTACTGCATTTCCTTCTTTGGACACATTCAAGTGAAGGCTATCCCTCTGGGATATTTTAATTTGGATTGCACTGGGCTGGGAGTTGGATTCAATGGGTTAAATGGCCTCTTACAAACTCTATTATTCTACTTGTAATTTTTTCTTGTGATTTTGCTGATCTTAAACATATTCATTTTCCTTTTCTTGTTATTTTCTTCTGTTTATTGATATTCTTGACTGACATTCCTTTCCTTATCCTTTCTTGCTTGATCACTATTTTCAGTCAGTTTTTCCTTCTTGGCCAGGATTTCATCCTCTGCCTGACCCTGCCTATTAGGAAAACCTTTTTCCACTTCAGTTTTCATGTCTCTTACTTCTTCCCAGAACCACTCAGATTTTCTTTCACATCAGCTAAGTGTATTAAATCTGATTCTTACACTGATCTTTTATTCTGATGATGTTCTCCAAATCAAATCTTGCTGGCACACCTACTTTTTAGCTTCTAAATTTAACACTGATAATTCATACTCTTTTTCACAATTGGGACCTGGAAATACTGTATTTGAATGGAATGCATGTGTCCATTTTCTGTCCCCTGCTATGTATTCAATTTTATTCCAGCACAGTCTAAAGGTAGGGTTTGCATTTAAGTTGTTTGAAGTAGGTCACAGGGCAGCTGACCTGGGTGTTCAATCTCACAGGTTTCACCTAATTTCAGCTCAACATCTATCAGCTTTCAAATTCCATGAAGGCCTGGCATACAAAAACATCAGCCAATATTATGGCTTTATATTCTACAAGGAGTTTTCACCAACTTTTTTTAAGAAATAAAATATTCAGACACCTTTTTGTGAACTCTTTATTAAGCAGAACACAAATAGATTTGTCAAGCAGTTTCTCAGCTTAACATGCATTGTTATTTTCTTAAAAGTCAATGTAAAATCTGCTTCTCTTTTTCCTCCCTTCCCATATGGCACCCAAATTTGATTTCCTCACAGTGTAAAAAAGTTGTATTTCTGGAAGAAATTAAAAAGTTAATTAAAAAGTTCATTTAAAATGTTTAACATTTATTTTAAAAATCTAGGATATATGTACATTATTACCAACAGAGAAGAGTAGGAGCACAGTGCAATTTAAGACTTTCAAATTGTAACTTACAGTGCAAGCCTGTCTACTGACTACCAAAATATGGGCCACCATTAGCTTTCGGGCTAATAAGCCTCCGGCTCCATACATTGTTTTTTCACTCAGTTTATTTCCCAACTTTCTTTACAGTTACACATAAAATTTCTGCAGATAATTTTACGATAGAGTTCAGTAAAATACTGGCCCAAGAAGGTGCATTTGGCAAATGGACAACACAGAGATTTGCATTTTTCAATGCGCTTTTGTACTTTGAGAGGGTTTTTGTACTGATGTCATCTTTTGATATACTCCAACTGCTTTATACACACTTTTATTGAGAGAACATCATTTTGCCAGCTGCCACAAATAGCTATATACATAAATTATTTTTCCATCAGATCATAATTCTTCTAGTGGTCCCCAAAAGGTTAATGATATCATGTCAAGCCCATAGAGACAAAACTGGCTCTTAATTTTTGGTTCAGACTCTTTTTAACCTTCTTCATAATCAGAGATCTAAACAATCAATCTAAAATCATCATACCAGCAACTTAAATTCAGAATTTCATATAGAAAACGTTTCATACAGAAAATTCCTAATATAACCAGCCAGAACTCAATTTCCAATGCTCATTCTATGATGAAGCTTGCCCAAGATAATTTACTATGTTAAATTTACATGGTAACTATTATAGCTTCACTCTGTAGGATATGATAGTCAATATTTACCATATTGGGGAAAAATACAAACTCCTTGATGGAATACATCAACTGAATTCACAAGGATACAATTTTGTAATATTCTCTATGAAGAAAATAGAAACAAGTAGAGTATGCATGAGTAGAGTAATTCCATTCAAGAAAAAAAATGCTCACATAAAAACCTTTCCTGCTCTCAGATATTATTTGCTACTTACCCAAATGCAGAAAGCTTGATACTTAACCTGAAAAACCAAAGTGGCCAATGGTCTGGAAGACTTCCTCTTTTGTACCTTGATGAACACAATATTCCTCAAACTGGTGGGTCTACTATCATTTTAATAATAAAAAGGTACTCTCCCAACAGCATGAAATAATGGGAAAAGGAAATATTTAGGTTGATTCTTTCTGTTCAATATATTTTAATTAGCTGTCAACAATCTCCTCAGAAACCTTAACTGATTCATTTGGCCAGTCATATATTCTGACGAAGGTCAGATATTAGAAATGAGAAAAAGTAACAGAAACACTGCAGCATCTTCTAACACACCAACAGAGCCTCCATGGCAGTATGATGGGTAATGCAGATGTGTCAACAGAAGTTAACGGGATCTTACTGCAACATAAATAAGGAGGCAGCATTTTAAAAATGCAAGTCAGGCACCTACCTATAGCAGGACCTTGAAGCAATGGGAATAAAACCCAGGTTTTGTTTTGCCATTTACCACACATGATTTAACAGCTCTTGTGGCCACTTCAGTTTTGTGAGTAAAAAGTCATTCTGTTTATGCTGAGCAGTCATTAAGTATTGGATTCAAGAACCTTGGTCTTTGAGCCTTATAAAGTTCTGGGGAGCATACTCAATTCACAAAACACATCAAAAGAGTTCAGTCATCCGTCTCTTCATATGTTGTCTCATCAAAAGGTCGGTCAAGGAGAGGTAGCACTCGATGACGAGAATATTTCAATAGCAAGAGGTTTCCAACTTCATCTATTTTCTTTAAAGCCTGGAAAAATAAAGCACATACAAAGAAAGTTTACTGCTTGGGGGTGGGGTGGGGTGGAGAAATGCTACAGGTAGCATTTAAATAACTGATTAGGGTCATGACAAGGCTTATACTAGGACAAGTGTTTTGTTGTTTCAGTTCTTTTTGTTTCATTAAGAATGGTGAACCCTCAGGAAAAAAGTTTCTTGCCTTATAACATCAAGTGCACAGCCAATGGAATTATATCTACCCTGTACCACAATCAATAGAGCTATGGTATGATTCTGAATTAGATTGCATTTCATGAGGAAACTATATAAAATTAATTGCAATATTTACTGAAATGCAGTAAATGCTGCACTTCAGTGAATAAGCATACCATCAAAAATATGTTCCACAAGTTTTGATATTACTTTGCCAAATGTAGACTCCTGAAAACCTCAGCTTTAATTTTAAGAAAGCAGAGTTCTAGCTCTTAAATCGAGGTTTGAAAGTGGCAGTATCCAATGAGATCTCTAAACATAATAACCTGATAAGTTTAGGAAGACATCTAGTAGGGAAGTGAAGCTCCAGTGCTGTGTACAGTTACATGCATCTCCCAAAACAAGTAGATGGGTTAACAGACTAGGTAAGAAGATAGGCAAATGTTGAGCCCAGAAAAAACCTGGATCCAATTTGGAAGTTGAGTATTTGAGTCCCTGCTCATTTTTTTAAAAGTATGGAAGGATCGATAATGAAGCTCAAGCTCAGATATTTTGGTCACCTAATGCGAAGAGAGATCTCTTTGGAGAAGACCCTGATGCTGGGAAAGATTGAAGGC